TCTGGCATTTGTTCGTCGAATTTGAATTCGAGAAGGCCATATGCCGAATAGTTGTCCATCTTATGAGTGCAAAGAGAACTGACACTAGGTCGTGTTGTAAAGCAAAATGGCTGCTGCCATGTTGAAACTTCCCATAAAACCTCGCTCTGTTGCTAGTCCCATTTCCTTATGGCGAAAAAATCGAACATTTCACCGTCTGATATGAATTTAAGTCGTACTGTCTTCGACTTGTTCGTCTCGACAGGCGAATCGTCTTTCCAGACGGCCGAATATCAGACGATTTGTTCGTCGAAAAATTTGTTTGTCCCGTTTTCACATCAGACGATTTGTTTGTCTAAGATGATTTGTCTGTCCAGACGATTTATCCGTCCAGACGATTTGTCTGTCCTCTAGTGTGAAAACGGCCATTCTGACTAATATGATTGCTTACTGTTGTAAATTTGTTTAACATCGTTGCTGTTTCTGTTACAATTGTTTTGATTACTTGTTTTGAGATCAGGAGGGGTCTCAACAGCAACCAACTTCTGTGAACCTCATTCTCAACCCAAAGCTCATGTCCTAAGTACAATTATTTCCCGCTTTTCTGAAGGGGCTCATACACATCTTGCCTATCAGACCCTTCTAGAGGCTCATAAAAAGATTCTCTCTGAGACCCAGGGCTATGCACCACTGCATTTGGTACACCAAACTCGAGGGTCTGCTCATAGGCTGGATTGTCACGACCAGACAGGGGTCTGTTTGGAAAAGCATATTCTGCACCACTCACATTTGCTCCACCTGAATCTGCCCCATCAAGAACATTATACAGGGGCTCACTGACTGCACCATCATGGGGGGCCTCCTGTCTGGAATGGGCACTTCCTGTATCTGCACTTTCAAGTACATTATATAGTGGTTCCTGATGTTCTTGTTTTGATTTAGGCTCCTCTAGAACATTATACAGTGGATCCTGTTGAACACTGACATCTGGGTCCTCGTATGTCTGTCCTGCTTCAGGCCCATTCAGCATATTGTAAACAGGGTCCTGAATGTTCCCTGGAGTATCATGTCCAGGATCTGGCCCTTCCAGCACATTATATAATGCCTCTGACATATCTCCTTGTTTGATGTCAGACTCTTCAAGGACACTGTAAACAGGGTCTGGCTGTACACTCGGTTTTTCAGGTTTTTTTGCATTGCTTAGTTTGTTTTTAGGTACTAGTTTCTTGGTGGATGGCTGATTGTTCTGTAGACTCTGGTAAACTGGTGATGTTGCTGCTGGTGTGTTCTTGTTCAGACTTTGGTAAACAGATGAGTTGTCATAATTTTCAGCTAGAGAACTGTACACAGCTCTATCATTTTCATGTCCTAATGTAGAAACTGGAAAAATATCAATATATATATAAACGTAAAAAACCTTATCCTTGAATCGGAGAGTGCTCTACAATCAACTTTTTATATATATATATATATATAACTGCAGAAAGTGCACACTGTTTCGACCTATGTGGGTCTCATCAGTGCAGTGCATACACTGGGCCAAGCTCTGGAATAAACCATTGCCTGGGCGCTACACTTGTGGGACCAAGTATTGTTCCGAATAGATTCTACTGTTGTTTACTAGTCACTGCGGAGATCATATTAAATTTAGAGGCTGCTGGTATGTGGTATAACTGCAATATAAACCAAGCATGAGGTCAAAATAGCTGCATACTGGCCAAGTTACTTTTTCCTCTTCCTTTTTTTGCAATTCCAAACATTACAAACTTGGTAAGTTGGCTCCACAACTTTTTTGTTGTTGCACAGAATCAAAGCAAGAACTCTTGAACAGACAGGATGAGCTCATCTTGCCTACTTAGATAGCCAACCAGAACACAGGATTCAATTAAGAATACAACTTAATGTAACACATGTATTAAACGATAAAATATTATTATTTCTTGCAAAGAAAGTAATTATTACATTAATGACAATAACTAATATTTATAATAATACAGAAATACTTAAGTTATAATTTACTATTAATCATTATTATTTCATATTATTAACCCATTTCTCTATAGCCATTAACTTTCCACATTATTGCTGACAAACTTACCCCTGTTGTCAACAAGTTCCAGGTAAGTTGGTTGACTATCTTGTTCATTGAAAGTTTTGGCTTTCTCTCTAGGCCTTTCAATTTTAATATCATCCTGAGGTTTCTCATACACTGGGTTCTTAACTAGGAAAAACATTTAACAAAAGTATTTGCAAACTTTTATTTCCACAACAAATTTTAAGTTTTTCTTATCATAAATTGTGAAAGAACATTGATTTGGTTTTATAGGTTCTAATAGACATGAAAAAAGTCAGTGTGTCATCATCATGCAACTTGAGTCCTGACAGTTCTTCAGATAGAACCATCATGCAATTTCAGGCTAATTAATGTGGTTGTAAACATAGCAACAGTCACCTTTGAAATCATACTCTCGTTTCTCTACAACTTGTCAGGTTGGGTCCAATAGACTTGCAACAGTGAACCAGTCTTAACCATTAACTTTACCCTGACTAACAAAATACAAATCCCTATATAATTATGTACCTCCTACATGTAGTTTTGCTTTCTTTTCCATGCTATCCCTGCAAAACAAATCCAGATTACTACTCAACACTATGATCATTTAGATATCACAAGTCCATAAGTCTATAAGTCTATAAGTAAGCTCTCTTTGGTTCACTCCATTATTCACAGTATAAATAAATTCACAATGACTTCTCTATCTCATACAATATATAAAAAATGCCAAAGATTATGAAAGAGGTCCATTTGAAAGCAAATTTTAATTTCAATTTGTGATTTCTCTACATTCTTTTGCTATCTTCAACTAACAAAATACAAAATGTAATGTTGCTGTGAATGGCATAATAAAGTACACTGTCCGAGAGCTTAGGACTGATGATTTAAACTTTGTGTTGTATGTTTTGGATATTTATGTTCAGCAAATATATGCATTCTACAACGTTCTTCACTAAAATGTTTCCTTAATTAGCAATTGAATGTTGAATATTGGAGAATGATGCATATCTACATCCTTTGGCTGATATACATCATATCCTAGCTAACAAATACATAATTATCACATTATCCAGGCATGTAAAATTAATATTGATGGTTATAGGTACAAAATTTGTCTCGCCAAAAACTTAGGATTAAGAAAACTGAGATATTTGGTTAAGAGCAGCTACATTTAAATACTAATAGGAAGATTAACATGGCATGCTTGTGACTGAACAATGTAAAAGTACAGTTTATCTGTCACGCCATGAAACTGGTTGCTATACAACATATGTGCATCATAATTCTGTCAGCTTATCCTTATTCATAATTTAGGAGTTTTAGTTGTCTAATAATTCCACCTGTTATCATAATAAAAATTACCCCCAATTAACAAAATTGACTCTACTTTGTAATCCCCAAACTTTGTTAGTGACCTAAAGGCTGTTAGTTTCGAAAGAAACTGTTTGGGGCTGCGTCGGTGGGAGTAACGAAATAATTTGGATATATTAACGATTACAAAAGCTGACGTTTCGAGCGTTAGCCCTTCGTCGGAGCGAATAGAGGAATTCTGAGTTGTGTGTGTTTTTAAAGGCAGAAAATGGAGCTACGTTATTGGTGGGAACATGGCAACGAGAAAAACACGAATAAATTAATGCAATGAAAAGCATTCGTTGATTTAGACTGCCGGTTTGAAAGATGAGCTTTTGTTCAAGATTTTTACGGCTTTCCTTGCTACCTAAGTGCAAGGAAAGACCGCAGATTGCCATATGTTGCTTAGAATGATTAGGTAAATTAAAGTGTCTAGCGACTGTTAGTGACCTGTTTGATTACACAAATTGGACTCCTCTTTGTACTAGATTATATCTAACAATTTATATTGCATTCACTTAATTAGTCATACACTCCTACTGTGGACAAGGCATTCATAGTTGCTGTAAAATTTTAATACTTCCTCTGTTTAAGTAGCTTACCGTAACTTTCTCCTCTTGCAAAATACAATGATCACCCCTATGACAATAATCCCAAAAGCAACAGCACCACAAACTCCCACACCAATTGCTACACCTGTGTTGTTTCCACTTTTTCTTGCCTCTTTGTCTCCTGGACCATCTCTGGCGGGAAGACTTGATTCAGTGGTCGGTAGCTAGGAGTATAAGAAAATAAAATGAAAGTTTTTACCTCAAAGAACTTAACAAAGGGCAAATACATTAATTTGTAATCTCTTAACCCTTGTCATAAATATTTTTAGATTTCTTAAACACATACAAGCATTTTAAGGGGTGAGGAGACCAGTAGGACAGCATATTACTGTACGCCATAAAGGGTACCTCCATTTATTTCCTTCTGAAGAAGGCTGGACACTTAAATCCCTAAATCTGATTGGCTAACAATGAACAATTGCAGCTGTTCCAGCTTTTTACAATAAGGACCATCCTGAATTTTTCCACACCACTCACACCAAAGCAGGAAAAAGCAAACCAACAAAAAAAAGTCAATAAGGTTATTTACTTGTCCAGGATGGTCCGCAAGAGAATGAACTGTGCCGTGCCCTTGGTCTTAAGTACAAGTTTTTTCCATACCAGCCCCCTACCAGGTAAATAACATAATTATATCTGCTTATTAAATAATTACTAACTTCTAGGCATCATTAAAAAAGCTGCATGGTGTAAGAAACGGCAAATAGAGGTTTAAACGGTTTTATTAAAAAAATCACACTGCGCCAGGACGACCGAACTACGTGCTGCTCCTCGAATGACACAAGGTCCCCGCACATGCCCGGACAAAGACGCATACAAAAGCTGATTGACAGAATCACAATAGAGCATTATAAAAAAGTCACGCAACTTGTCACACATGGTTTTATTGTTTCATTGATAATGGCAACCATGCACCCCCTGAACATTTACACTAACAGAACCTATACAACTGTCTCGCATACAAAAAACCCACCTCTGATGGTTCACTATTATTTGGTTCCCCTGTGCTAACTGAAGATTTTGAGATCCCTGTGTTTGTTACTTGATTAGAAATTTCCTCTGAATTGAATGGTGAGAAGCTTTCCAGTTTTGCTGTTGATTTCGATGGCAGAATTGGTCCAGAGGAACATAAAGCCTGCCTCCTTTGAAGTGAACTGGTTTCCATGTGTGTTGGTACAAATGTTGAAACTTTGTGTGAGTGCTTTGTTGGACTTCTTGTCATTGAATCCCATGACGGAGAAGGTAATGGAAAGGACGTTGGTTGCAGTGATAATGACAAGGAGAATGTTTGCTTTGATTGTGATGATTGTGGTGATCGTGAAAAGGCAGACTTGGATGATGGTTTATTGGGAGAATTCATAGCAGTTGGAACAGATTCTGAACTTGTTGTTGATGGGGCATAATCTATTGAACACAATTCATGCAATTTTCATCTAGCTCTTACACGTGGCTGTTCATTCATAGTACAACTAATGAAATACTGAGGAAAAAAAGTATACATCAAGTATACATACTTAGGTTTTCAAAGCAGAGTGGGGCAATTTGAAATGCTTTGTCATTTAAGAGATGCTAGCAGAAGTGTTGCCATTAAATTATGTACTCAGTTTAGAATTGATTCTACATTATGCAGAGTAACATCAAAAGTATATATATAATAACAATTAGGCTAAGTCAAAGGTTTGATAATTTAGAGCTTTATCACTAATTGGTAACCTGTGGGTAGCCTGTCAGAGGCCTGTTCAGGTTAGGGATACCTGTTGGTTAACAGTCAGCCAAAGGTTTTTCAGGAAGCTCTTCTTCACAATCACCCAGTTTTTAGGAAAATAAGAAATAGTCATCAGATACTGTTAGTAATCACATTGCATATTTGAATAAATACAATTTACAGAGTATTCTAACAATTATAATTACCTAAATTATCTTAAATTAGAAAAAAAGATAATTAACTTTGACTTACAAATAATATTGCCTAATGCTTTGAGAAGATAGCAGCTGTGTTTTCTTTGCATTCCTTGATGGTTTTCACAAGTCAATAAAAGATAGATGATCCTGCCAGACAAATTTTTTCCACTGTCTTGCCACTAAAAAAAGAACTCATCAATCAAAGAGGTGAAGTTCAAAGTTACAACTAATATTTAATATGTGAACACAAAATCATGCAGTAGGTTTCCTGTCTTGGTGACATTAAACTTGGCAAAGTGACAATACCACTGAATGACGCAAGTGTAATAATTCCATTTTGGATGCAAAATGTGAGGTCAGTAAATCACAGGTCTGAAATGTGCTTTAAATTAAATAATTATTCTCCTCCTGTTGACAACTGCTTGTTTTCTGTGTTCTCAATATGCATTTGTACAACAAAGGAATTTTATTTAGTTGTAAGATCCTGGCTATTTTTTTTCCACTTAGAGTAAAATTTTCTGTTTTTTGATAATTTTTTTAAGGCACCTGCTATGAAATAAGATGGAAAGTTGGTTACCAACCATCAGCATGAAGAAATTGTAGTATAAACATGTGTTATAGTAGTAGTAGTAGTAGTAGTCTTTATTTCCTCACAAGATAAAAAATACATATCTTATGTTACAATATTTGAGTAAAAAGTATATATATCTAAATTATAACTCACATAGCTAAATTGTATTTAAAAATTAAGCGATTAATGAAAGAGTTCTTGATTAATGAAAGAGTTCTTGTGTTGAACCTTACTGCCATAAACCAATCTGTTGTGTATTCCGAATAAAAGGCCAGGAACACGGTAACCAGATCAAGATGGCGGAAGAACTGTTTTTAATCCAAAGCAGAAAACCTCGTGTACAATACGAAATATGAAAAACAGGTCTCGTGACACTAGCTTCTATGTAGAACAGGGAAACCAAAAAATAGGAAAAATCTAACACAATCCACTATTTTATACAATCAGTTACAAAGAAAAAGCTATTAAAAAAGATAATATTATCTCAAACAACTTAGAGACCTGACTTGTTAAGTCAAGCAATGTTACCTGAATACTAAATGTCTTCCCAGTACCTCCTTCCTTTATTAGTTGGAAGACGCTGACATTAATTTTTCTCCATCTAACCTGAAAACCAGTGTAATCCAAATAGTAGCCATAGAGTTTGCAAGACTTGCTTGAACTGTAGGATGTTTTCCAGTTTCCTTTCATGTGAAGGTCAACTGGGAAGTTCAAGGGTTCTCCATAAGCTACATTTTCATATCTCTTACTTGGACAATCTAAATGACAAAAATAATAATGCATCACATTACATAATAATAATATTACATCTATATGCAAAAATAACTGCAACTACCATAATGAGGTTAATTGATAGCTTTTTCTTTGCAAACAGTATGCAATTCTTTGTTTCTAAGATTTAAGCTATACACTTTCACCTGTTAAAGTTTGTCATAAAGGTGTGACAAACACCTATTACATCCTATTTAAGTTAAAAGAAACTTTTCGAATTTTTCAGTTGTATAGTCAGTGGTCATATGTCAAAATGCCTATATTGACTGGGTCAGGTCAGGCTGGACAGGAATATACTTGGCTCTTGTTCATGATGCATAGACCTTGCTGAACTTGATCCATGTCATGACCTGGAGCCAAATGTTTTCCTAGCACTCCCCCACTCAGTCAATTAGAACATATTTTAACTGCAGATAAATAAATGAAGTTGAGAGTGCTCATCACAGAAATAATACAACTCTTCAAGATATCGTCAACTCTGGTTGAGAAGAGGATCATGCAAGGTTAATAATAACTGATATGGCGTCTGGATGAAATGTGCACCCAGTTTCAGAGTGCTTCTGGACTGAAGCATGTCAAAATCGCAATAATCCTTCTTCCTAAATTAAAACCCACCCCAACCCTCACCCACGACGAAAACGTAGTAAGGACAGGCTAGGCTTAATTAATTGACTTTGCAATCACCTGTAAAATTTGCTGGCAATGTCTTTCTGCTTATACAAAATCTCAACGACGGAATAAAAGTAGAATTGTCCGACGAACAGGCACAAACACAGGGGCTTTGAAACCATAACGTTGGTTGATGAAATGCATTTAACGAGCTGCAGCTCACACACCGACTACCACTTGTCATGTCTACAACAAAGAGGTCGGGATGGTTGCCTTTCCTCCTCTCCACATAGTAACTCTTGACGTTTGACTCATCAAGACAAGATACGGTGAGACCAAAACCCAGGAGGACCAGGAAAAAAAAACACTTTGGCTTCATCAGGCTGTGAAGAATCTTTCGCTGCGTGTACTGAAGTCGATCAAAGCGCACAGGACGAGCAATCAATCTGCTATCAAGTAGACCCTGCTTCGAACAAAATCACCGTATGCTTGTTTCCTTTAAGAGACCCTTGCTTGATTCTTACATCGACGTTTGCTGACAATTTTAAATCTCTCCAAGAAACTGAAAGCTGATTTTCAAATAACTTCCGCGATTCCACTCATCTTCATCGAAAATAACTTCAGATCACTTGTCCCGTGATGACGTCTGGGAATAAATTCGGTGTTTGATCTCGTCACGCAACGGTCTCTCCTCCATCGTGACGAAACCAAACAACGGCTGCGAATGAGACTTCATTCTCTTTCTGACACACAATTGAAAAGAGTACTCTATAACAAATTGTCGAAACGAATATTTGTCTGTTAAGACCGACAAGAAACCCCAATTACTGAAAAGATCGCACTGGTTCACGAAGCTTGACAAAAACAAGAGGTCCAGATCTTTCCTAAACTAATGCTGGATGTCACTTTATTTCATTTTGATAAAATTTTTTCATTTTTTTGTAGAAGGTTCACATTAAATGAAAGCAGCGCGTCTGGGAACTTACATTCAAAAACCAAGGAATAAAATGACAAGAAATAAAAAAAATTACTGATTGATTGAAGGTCTGCCAGTCAGGACTGTTTCGCGTATTACATGTGTATTAGACTCTTAGACTGGACACATATAAGGTAAATTACCCCATTACAACTGTATATGTAGTTATAAGCAGTTAGCCTCCACTTTAATTTTCTCTGGTGAACGCGTGTTATCCCCTTATTTAACAAGTATCGTTTACTTCCAGTTGAGCTACAAGAATACACTTCCGCATTGAAGGTGCGGAAGTGTATGG